TTTGGCAAATCATCGCACAGAATGCTGAGGAAAACAGAATCCCAATTCTTAAAATAAACAGTATTGCTGTGGTTTTGCATCTTTTGTTACTCAACTTCTAGGTGAGGAAGCAGCAATGTTCCTCTAAGACCATTACATAGGAGAAAAAAAAACTTAATCTTTTATTATTTATATTCACCTGAAGATAGTGGAAGAAGGTAAAAGCAAACTTCAGATTTTTTTTTTCTCAAATGCTTTCTTCACAGGGGGAGGAGATGAGTATGATGTTATATTTCACTTAAAATATATTATTGCAAGACTAACATACTTTTTTGAAACAGTATATCTTTCTTGTTTAAATATATTGTTTTCAGTAAAATATCTTGATTCCTTCAATGACTTTTAAAGACTGTTAGTGATGGAAAACTCTGGTTTGTAACTATTTTTTTTCTCATTCATGTAATAATGTGTAATTTCAAGGAATATATGGTCAGGTTTTCAATGAATTATAATAAACTTTTTCCCCCTTCATCTGCAGCACTGCCTCCTAAGCCACCGAAACCTAATACTGTAACTAACAACAGCATGAATAACAACATGTCATTACAAGATGCTGAATGGTACTGGGGAGATATCTCAAGGTAAATCAGATCAACACATGTATTTCTTATGTTTGGCTTTATGTTCTTGCTGTTATTCTGTGTGTATGTATTCTTCTTAAGTATAGAAAAGTTACAGTTCTAAGAGCCATTTTTAGGATATTTTCAACACAAACATATTACAGTTGGTTTTATTCCAAACATGACTAAAAGGTTACTGGCAGTCAGTTAGAATGTAATATGTGAAATGGTTTGGTGATTGTTCTGTTAAGACAGCTATATGAAATGCTGGCATGAAAGGACAACACCAAGAAATAAGTATTTTCTTCTTTCATCTAGAACCTCAACTGTAGGCACAATAGTTAACAAGCCAGACTAACAAGTGCCATATATTAGCAACATTTTTAACTCTATTATATATAGATACATTGGACCAGCACTGGCTACTCCAGTTGTGCAGGCTTGTATGAACAAGCAGAAAGACCGTTTCCCGCAGAGAGAGGACATAGAATATGCCTGGTGAGGCCGCAGCTTGAATACTGTGTTCAGTTTTGGGCCCCTCACTACAAGAAGGATGTT